TGGCATGCGCAGGTCGCTGGGTTCGATCCTCAGCACCCCATCAAAATAAAAAAATAAAAGATGTTGTGTCCACTGAAAACTAAAAAATAAATATTAAAAAATTCTTTCTCTCTAAAAAATATTTAAAAATAAAAAATAAAAAGAACTGGGAATGTGATTCAGTGATTAAGCACCTCTGGATTCAATCTCCAGTACCAAATAAATAATAAATAAACAAACAAATATTTGTTTTGTTTCTGGCAGTGCTGAAGATTAAATCCTGGGTCTGACACATGTTAGGCAAATGCTCTACCACAATGCTCCATTCCCCAGTCCCTGGAGATATTTTTCATTGTTACAATTGAGGGGATACTACTGGCAGACATAGGAAAGGCCATGGATGCTGTTATATATCCTACCATGCACCAGATAGCCCCCAGAGAAAATAATTTTCCAAACCAAATTGTCAATAATATTGAGGTTAAAATCCTTGGACAGACTGAGTAGGCTTAAAAGTCATTCTAACTTAATTCTGAACGTCAATATGTACAGATTGAGAAATCATGGCCAAGAAAATAAATTTCCATAACAAGAAACTAAATGCTGATCATTCTCAAAACCAACTATAAACAAGAGCAGAGCCAGCTGTGGTGGTATATGTCTATAATCCCAGTGAGACAGGAGGATCACAAATTCAAAGCCAGCCTCAGCAATGGTAAGGTGCTAAGTAACTCAGTGAGACCCTGTCTTTAAATAAAATACAAAATAAGGCTCAGTGGTTGAGTGCCCCTGAGTTCAATCCCTGGTACCAAATAAAACAAAAAAACAAAAGCTAGAGTAGTGGCAATGCCTATAGTCCTAGCTACCTGGAAGGCTTAAGACAGGAGGAAAGCTTAAGCCCAGTTCCACACCAGTGCAGGCATTATAGTAAAACTCTTATCTTAAAAAAAAGAACAGAACTGCCAGTATCAACGAATATGAATGTTATTTGCTCACCTTAACTGTTGTACAAGCTCTGGGCAGCTCTAAAATTAAAGAAAGTACATTAAAACATTAAACTATATTAACAACTTTGAAAACATCAATTTTTTTTAATTAATGCACATGCTTTATAACAAATATTAGAACTACAGAAGGCCCTTATATTAAGATATCAAAAAGCATATTCTTCCTACTAGGTGAATAATGAGTTTGGGGTGGGAAATTAAAAATGAAAATATATGAAATAGTTTTAAAGGAATCAACTTTCAGTAGCTTCTTTAAAATATTAGGAACTCTCTTTAATGCCATCCCTGGAATTATACCAAACTGACTGGTTATACACATTTTACATTGATTTCTATTAAATGATTTTTCAGATTTCTGTCCTTGATTTTAATCTCTGAAAGGATGGGAACTGTATGATTTATTTATTGTTCAACTGCGGCTCATGTTTGTTGATATAAAATTTAAAAAGTTCCTCTCCTGTTTCCAGTTATCAAAGCCCTTGGATGATGTCAGAGATGGACGCACATTACTCTAAATTTCATTCTAAAGCTACTGATGTAGCCCATCACATCATCTCTCTACAGTGGCTCAAGAAAAAAACCTAAACCCAAACTAAACCCCACCAATTCATTTTTAAATAAATGTTCCTATGTAAACCCCATAGATTCCAGTGAAATATCAACAACACATACCACAGGATTCTCCCCATGGTGAGCCACTTTTACATCACAAAGCTGTCCTGCAGGATCTAACTGCACTTCCACATAGAACATATCTGACGTGATGTAACATTCAGTGCCACTGGCACTGAGATGAGAGCCCAGTCTAGCAGGAACAAATCAAAACAAAAATTAATAGAAGACACAGAAATAAAGCCACCCAAAGTTAACACTAAGTTAAACATTCTGCCTACAGATAAGGCTACATACCCATTCTGTCTCGCTATTGATTCCAAACGGTCAGTCATTGCTGGTAAAGATGTTACTATGAAAAAAGAAAATCATAAAGAATGTTCCAAATAAATGGTTTATTCTTCAAAGACAGAAACATACTAAGGAGTATATATATATCCACCATTCCAAAGCCATAAACATATTCAGTAGTCCAAATACCAGTAATTTACACAAAGTTCATTGGTACAGTTTCACTGTGAGGCTAAGATGACAATAAGGTTAAAATAAGACCTACATGAAATACTATTAACCTTCCTCTTTTCCTTTTTCATTACTCCTTATTTTGGACAAGTTGTCTTTAACTGAAAGAAAACATATTATCTGTTAATGCATATTATCTGTTATTGCAAAGTCAGGCACAGTGGCATGCCATTAGTCCCAGTTGCTTGAAGGGCTGAGACAGAACTGCTTAAACCTAAGAGTTTGGGCTAGTCTGGGTAATATAGTAACATTCCATTTCTTTATTTAAAAAAAAAAAAAATAGCCTTCTTCTTACCTATTCCTACCTGCTAATGCTAGAACAAGGAAGATGAACACCAAAGTCAATATAAAGGTACAGCTTAAGTTGTACAGTGTGTACGTGTGTACTTAACATGTATGAATCCTGAGTTCGATCCTCAAAACCAAAAAAAAAAAAAAAATCCATCTGGAAATGTATGATGTCAAGATCATTGGACTGTTAGGTGTAACTAATTAAACAAACAAACAAAAAAATGGGCTCAGTGGTGCACACTTGCAATCCCAGCAACTCAGGAGACTGAAGAAAGAGAATCCAATTTCAAAGCCAGCCTCAGCAACTTAGCAAGGCCCGAAGCAACTTAGCAAGACCCTGTCTTGAAATATAAGATGCAGCTCAAGGACTGGGGTCATGGCTCAGTAGTGGAACACTTCCCTAGTTTGTGAGAATCAAAGGGTTCTCAGCACCACATATAAATAAATAAAGATCACTGACAACTAAAAAATATTTAAAAAAAAAAAAAAAAAGATGCAGCTCAGTGGTTAAGCTCCCTGGTTGGAATCAATCCCCTGGTATCAAAACAAAAAGAATTGTGTGTGGGGGCTGGGGCTGGGGCTGAGCAGTAGAGCGCTCACCTAGCACGTGTGAGGCCCTGGGTTCAATCCTCAGCACCACATAAAAATAAATAAATAAAGGTATTATGTCCAACTACAACTAAAAAATGAATACTAAAAAAAAAGAAGACTGGGGTTATGGCTCTATGGTAGAGCGTTCGCCTAGCATGTGTGAGGCACAGGGTTCGATCCTCAGCACCACATAAATAAATAAATGTACATAAAAAAAGAATTGTATATGTGTGTACATACTAGATGTCTGTGGGATATATTTGCATGTATATGTAAATGCATACATACATGTACAAACATTTAAGTGTGTCTGCACACATATAGGTATATGTATATACACACATCTATATCTGTGTATACATGTTGTAAATGTATGCATATAAACAAATACCCTGGGGTAAGTAAAGCAGATTTTCCAGGCATGAAATAGACCCTGGGTTCAATAGCAAGCTCAAGAAAAAAAAGAAGGAGGTGCTAGGGTTGTGCCTCAGCAGTTGAGCACTTGCCTTGCACTTGCAAGACCCTGGGTTCGATGCTTTAGTACCATATAAAAATACATAAGTAAAATAAAGGTATTGTGTCCAACTACAACTAAAAAAAAGAAAAAAAAGGGGGGAGCTGGGTATGTTGCCCACTAGTACAATACCTCAATATTCACAGAATTATTTACAACAGTCGTAAAACAGAAACAACTGCCTGGAGCAAGTGCTGCACATTTGTAATCTCAGTTGCTTGGGAGGCTGAAGCAAGAAAATCCCAAATTTGAGGCCAGCCTGGACAACTTTTTATGTGTAACCCTGTTACACATAAAAAAATTAAAAGGAGGGTTGAGGTTGTAGCTCAGTGCTAGAGCACTTGCCTAGCATGTGTGAGGCACCACATATAAATAAATTTTAAAAGTCCATCAACAAAAACAACAAAAAATAGGGGTGGGGATGTGGCTCAAGCGGTAGCGCGCTCGCCTGGCATACGTGCGGCCTGGGTTCAATCCTCAGCACCACATACCAACAAAAAATGTTGTGTCCGCCGAGAACTAAAAAGAAAATAAATATTAAAAATTCTGTCTCTCAAACTCTCTCTCTCTCTCTCTCTCTCTCTCTCTCTCTCTCTCTCTCCTCTCTCACTCTCTCTTTAAAAAAAAAAAAAAAAAACTATATAATTAGAAATGGTTAAGACAAAAAATAAAAATGGTTAAAATGGTAAATTTTAGGTTATATGTATTTTACTACAAATACAAAAGAAAAAATTACTCAAATGAATCACATTCACTTGTGGTGGATTACAGCAAAATTTGTGTATGTGTCTATTTGCTTCGGTGGTGCTTGAGACTAAACCCAGGGCTCTGTGTATACTAAGCATACACTGTACCACTGGGCTGCATTCACAGCTCCTTAAAATCTGTTTTTACTTTCCTATCTCCCCAGAAACAGAATTAGTCATTATAAGTATGAATAATGAAGCTCATGATTTAAATTTTATGTTTGCTTTCTTAAAAACATTCTAGATAGCTAAAATGTCCATCTTCTGGGCTGCAGATGTAGTTCAATGGTAGAACGCTTCCCTACCATGGATGAGGTACTGGGTTTGATCTTCAGTACCACATAAAAATAAATAAATAAGACAAAGGTATTGTGTCCATCAATACTAAAAAAAAAAAAAATTTAAGTCAATCTTATGGGGCTGGCTCAGTGATAGAGCGCTTGCCTGGCATGTGTAAGGCACTGGGTTTGATCCTCAGGACAACATAAAAAAATAAATAAAAATACTGTATCCATCTACAACTAAAAAATAATTTTAAAAAATTCCACCGTCTGGGATGGGGTTATGGTTTAATGCTAAGAGTGCTTACCTAGCATGTGTGAGGCACTGGTTTCAATTCCCAGCACCACATATAAATAAATGAATAAAATAAAGGTTCATCAGCAACTAAAAAACAAAATTTTTTAAAGTCTATCTTATCGAGAATTAGAAAAGAATATGTACAGAAGAAAATCTCTCTTTTTTTCTGCTATCTTATATCTTCATTAATTACCTTTTAAGTCTCTATCAGCCTCCAAAGTAAGATCACATTCAAATGTTTTAAAGTTCAGAAATCAGGAGCTAGGGTCATGGCTCAGTGGTAGAATGCTTGCCTAGCATGTGTGAGGCACTGGGTTGGATTCTCAGGACCACATAAAAATAAATAAATAATAAAGTTCAAAGGGAAGCCATGGTTATAACAACTAATAAA